AAAACTCTTCAATTTGAGATCACTCTAATTTAGACAGTTCTGAAGGCAATTGCTTCCCTTTAGTTTCGCAGTAGATTGTTGTTATAGCCTCGCAAAAACCTACTTTTTGCAGACCTCACAAAGTCGCTTAAAACCTTTGGTATAAATGTATCAATAGGTGTTGGAGGAGTGTACCATCAGGTTACACCACGGACACAATCACCCGCACCCAGTATCAAAAGAGGGTGCTATCGCATAGCTGGTTTGTGCTCGCAGTGCAATTTAAACTTGATGAGCACTGCACACAAAGCTATTGAATGCAGGGTTTAGTAGGTTTATCGCTCCTACTATTCATATCCACAAGAAGCATACAGTGTGTCTTCGTCAGTGTACAGAAAATATACAGATAATATTTGTAAACAGTAAATTTATCCAGCCCAGCGACCCATATTTTATTCCACAGAGGAAGCCCACCCTGCAATGTTCTCCATTCTCCAATTGCCAGTCTACCCTCATGGTTCTGAGTGGGGGTAGTCCATTGCCTCCTCTGGTTATGTCACAGCCTTCTGTGTGTTGCATTATCTCACAGGATTTATCTATTTTAAAAGCGATTACCATTGTTATAAGCCATACAGATGCTGCTCTGATGCCAGATTCTGCAGGCATGTAATACATAACAAATCTGTATCATCACGAACATCGGCTCTTGTATAGTGTCACGTGGTGTCAGAACCCCATCCCCTTTTGAAAATTTCGATGGCTGGGAGCTCCATAGGAAGCAAGATATGGGACTGAGAGCACCACCCACACACCTTTATGTTGGTCTGTCTTTGACCAGAATCACAGGAATCCTTCTCAGATATCTAGGGGCATATGTTAAGAGCGTGTCCATGAGAGGACCACGCAGAACCTGATAGGGTGGGGTTAACGGATTTGGCTGAACTTTGATGTGTAAGGGAATCCCAGGTAGCCTTAAGGTTGTGCAAAACGTTAGGTCAATACGACCTCATCTTCAGGACAAATGGCCCAATTATGTACTGCTAACATTCTCAGTCTTCAACAACTGACGACAATGTTACACAGGATTTAGGGGCTCTGGATTCTTCTTGGGCTCCAACACCACAACCAAAGAATATAGAGCTCCAGTCCCTGAGCACCGTCCTTATCAAGGATGGATAGCCATCTGCTGATGGACAGTTATTTTCCGGCCTTGCTCTCTTACACAAATCAGAGACACTGCCATCCAAGGACTGGGCTTTGACTAGGATGTAAAGGATAATGCTGTGGAATTGGTTGAGAAACAGCTTCTAAAGTATACTGTACAGAAGCAATATGCGCTATGAGGCAATGTGGCTTGCTGCATTCATTGATTGCATTGATTTATGCATAACCTGTTTCATAAATAATGCCTGGTTGTGTCCTGGTGGAAAAGGTTTTATCTAAATGGACTTATTGAAGTTTTTGAGGTTTTCCATTTTAGTGGTTTTAAGATATTTGGGCTTTTTGTTTTTAGTTTTTAGCTTTTAGTTTTTTAGGATGTTGATGGATGAGGAACAGCGTCTTCTTCTTGTACTTTCTGAAAAAGATTCAAATGACATGGATCCGTATGTCAGTTACAAAGAAATGTATTGCCTGAATTTGTTTGCACTGTTACAGAATATAACCACTGTCTGACATTTGGCTTTTCAATGACACTTGGCTCTTCCTCCTAAAATAGAATAGTCGAGATTTCACGTCATGTTTTTTCGTTTCCCTTATAAAAAATTCTTATTACTTTTGCATGCAATAGTAACCTCCAATGCTTTCAATATTTTTTGTATAGTAAAACATTTTATTTGCACAATAAATTTATACATTATAAGAAATGAATATTGTCACCTTTGCATTATTGTCTCAATTTGTGTACTTTTTGTTTCTAACTGCCTTAGTCTTAAAAAGACCATGCTTTGCAGCAAGGGCCTCAACAATGTGTTGACCACTACAACAATTGCCTGGTAACTTCATTCCTTAAAGCTCGCACTGGTATGTGTAGGCTGCCTTTGAGACCGCACCAATCAGAAAGACTGAAAAGCTGGCAGCAAGGGGTTACAAAGTCGAGATGAATCACGATCTTTGTGGTGGCTGCAGTGTATATTGACAGGCTATAAAAGCTCAATTTCTGTTATTGGAAACTTGGATAGTTATACTGCATTTAAGGGCAGGCAAAATGATTTATTTTGGGTTAACAGATGCTTTCTCTCTTTGCAATGTATTGAGACTACAGTGGAAAATGGGAATCACAATAAAAATTGGTATCAGTTTTAACTGATAGAAGGCAAAAATACACAATACGGGGCTGAAACAAGGCGTATGTAAGTCCATACTGAAAACTGGTGACAAATATTTTATTTATGCGTCTAAAAGACCATGATAAGGAAGTTCTTTCATCAAAGTTTCAATGCTCAAAGACCTGCACTAATGACCCCATAGCTACTCAAAGATAGGTATAACTATGGAGCAAATTTAGGGGTTCCCCTAAGCGAAGTCTTGCTTCTGCCTCTTAAATACATTTTTTCCCTCGATTTGGACATCAGGTTTGGGGCAGGACACAACCTCTTAGCCTTGCAATTTTCAATGTTCTGCTGCTTTCCATTGTTAAACAGCAAGCGTTTAAACTTTTGTAGCCCAAAATTATCAAATTTTTGAGTGCTTTGGAATACGTTTTGGTTGTTGGGAAGTCAAAAAAAATATTCTTCACGACCTGCCTTCTTTTACCTCACTTGGATTAAGTAGGGACGGATGATTTGAAGCCTATCGTCCCTGATTTACACCAATGCAGTCAGTAAATTAGTGATTTAAAACTATACAGAAAAACGACCAAACACTATACCTTTTAGACTATCAAATGAAGTCAATAAAGTTGTTTAGAGTTTGGTATATTTTATTGCTTTTGAGCCAGAACTAATATTCCCTGTCATTACGACCCTACGTGACAGTCTCGTCATGGACCCTGTTCGAGGTATGTCGGACAAAAAAGGAGGGCGCTATTTGGTTGGGGTTAAATCTTTTGTGCTTCCTCAAACTTTACAAACTTCAAATAGCGCCCTCTTATTACGTCCACCAAGCTTATAAAAGTTTTTATTGAGATAAATATTGGTACTTGGTGGTAAACGTTTAAAATTATTCATGCCTTTCTGTGCGATCGAGAGTGCTTTTGTTGTAAAATCACCGAAGAAGACGCAGTTCAATGTCGGGGTCGGCCTAAATGTTCTATTTTCAAATTATGAATCAAGAACTTACTCAATGAAAACACTGGGATAAATGGTTTAAGTCAATAAAACACATTTATGCCGTTTGAAATAACTAGTTGACGCTCTGATAAAACTTCCTGATTGTTTTGTTTTTTTTCCGTCTCATGAACCATATGAACCTATCTGATATAACTTCATACAATTACTGCACGCAACTGCCATGTCTTAGTTCCGCGTATAATGATGAACGACAACATCGTCTTATTTTTTGATACAGTAAACATACAGCGGGTCTGACTATTTATTGGGACTGCAAGGGTTTATACTGAAATAATTTCTTGAACATTGGAACTACATTTGGACCATTCTGGCATCAGATCAACCACATTACGTATTAACAGATCATTGCAATTAACATGTTAAAACTGGACGCAGTAAAACCGTTCAATCTCTGTGCCTCTTGTATCAAGTATTTAAATGTTACGGGCTGCGTAAATTCCATTTGCCCCAAGTTCTGGTTCACCTTGAGTTAGCTTTTCCTTTCCTCAGGGAGCTTGTAGATGTTGTGGAAAATTGCGTTATTCTAAAGATTCAACTCAAGTCCATTCACTGGAACGGCGGGGTTTTATGAAAAGTGCACTGACAATGAAGTAACAACGGAGCTGACTCAAAGTTGGAATGCCCCATAAATATTGCGACATTTAAACGAGAAGACATGTTTGTCTTTGCACGAAATGCGTTGTGCTATGTACTCTCAGATAGTAGAAACCTCTCCGAAAATGTGTGTCATGTCGCATAAGTCATTTTCAAATAATTGATAAAATTAATTATTCTCAGTTACATGTATAGTATTCCGACCCTGTGTATAGGTGCATTTATTACCTTCGAGTGTGACATAGGGTTTAGCGTGTCAGTGTATGTCCTGATAGCTGCCTATTTACATATACATGTACAGAGTTACTTCAAAGCTCACTGGAAAGCTGTACACTGTACAGGATTCTGTGTTGATCATACTAGTAGCCACTAAACAGCCAGTTCCATGAATTTGCAAGATATAGGCTGTGATGTTCTGGCAACCTGGAGACAACTGTTGGAACATTTTGTGTGTGGTTGCAAGAGAGAAAGGGTTGTACAGGCATTATGGAAAGGCATCTAATGTAAGCTGTACTTAAACTGGTTTTAGTAAGGGTACATGGATCAACTTAAGTTTTGCTCTGGGGGATATGGATTAGTCACCTTAGCATTAGGACATTGTAAAGGGTTCCTATAATGGAATTAGATTAAACATTTCAATTTTCAGGCGATATAATGGCGCCCTGGAGTCTCACCAGGGGCCTTTCTGCCCGTAGCTCATAGCATTTTTGTGCCTGTATGTTAGACAGTTCAGTGTTTTTTTTTTTTCATTTATAGGCCTAAGGGTCCACTATTTGAGATGTTA